TCCCGGCAAACAAGCATAGAGGTTCCGGGGCCCTTTCGTTTTCGGGACACAGGGGGCCTCTGTGCCTCTTTGTGCGACCCGAATCTCCAAGGTGCCAGAGGGAAGCCTCGCGAAGTCTGAAAGGGCCTGGGCCTCATGGGTACAGGGAAATTGCCAGGCTCCCGAGTTCGGTTGGGGTCATCCTCCGTCGATCATGTGCATTCTAATCAACCCTATAAGCTCCAAACAAAGTAAGCCCTGTTGAAAACCCTCTTTGACTCTTTGAATCCAACAAGCCCGAAGCCAGAGGAACCCAAATCCCTAAAAGCGAACCATGCGCGATTCAGAAACTGGACGTGATTCAGGAAACCAGGATTCAGGAAACTGCGCGATTCAGGAAACCAGGATTCAGGAAACCACGCGATTCAGGAAACTGCGCGATTCAGGAAACTGTTTTCCCGCGATTCAGGAAACCGCAGTTCAGGAAACCACAAGATTCGGGAAACTGAAAACACGCGATTCAGGAAACCGCGCGATTCAGGAAACTGACAGCACGCGATTCAGGAAACTGCGCGATTCAGGAAACTGCGCGATTCAGGAAACTGCGCGATTCAGGAAACCAGCGGATTCAGGAAACCACGCGATTCAGGAAACTGCTCGATTCAGGAAACTGCGCGATTCAGGAAACTGCACGATTCAGGAAACTGCGCGATTCAGGAAACCACGCGATTCAGGAAACCATGCGATTCAGGAAACCGCGCGATTCGGGCCTGTTGAAATGTGGGGGGCTGCTTTGTGACACTAACCGTTGAAGCGCATTGGGCTCCAGCAGCCATTCAAGCAACAGCATTGGGCTCCAGCCTGTTGAAACTGGGTCTCGGGGGGGGGATGATAGCGTCAAGGACAAGGCTGCTTTGTGACACTAACCATTCAAGCGCATTGGGCTCCAGCAGCCATTCAAGCAACAGCATTGGGCTCCAGCCTGTTGAAACTGGGTCTCGGGGGGGGGGGGGATGATAGCGTCCAGGACAAGGCTGCTTTGTGACACTAACCATTCAAGCAACAGCATTGGGCTCCAGCAGCCATTCAAGCAACAGCATTGGGCTCCAGCCTGTTGAAACTGGGTCTCGGGGGGGGGGGGATGATAGCGTCCAGGACAAGGCTGCTTTGTGACACTAACCATTCAAGCAACAGCATTGGGCTCCAGCAGCCCTTCAAGCAACAGCATTGGGCTCCATCCTGTTGAAACTGGGTGTCGGGGGGTGGGGGTGGGGGATGATAGCGTCCAGGACAAGGCTGCTTTGTGACACTAACCATTCAAGCAACAGCATTGGGCTCCAGCAGCCCTTCAAGCAACAGCATTGGGCTCCAGCCTGTTGAAACTGGGTGTCGCGGGGGGGGCGGGGAGGGGGGTTGCGGGGGGTTGGGGGGGGGGGGAGGGGGGATGATAGCGTCCAGGACAAAGCATTGGGGTATAGCCTGTTGAAAGTCGGGGGGGGGGGGGATGCGCTATCATCCAGGACACGGCTGCTTTGGGCTCGCCCGATCCGGTAATTGGAATCCACACGAATCCGGTTCCTCCAATCCGCGGTTTCCGAATCCGCGTTTTCCAGTTTCCTGAATCAGCTGGTTTCCGAATCCGCGTTTTCCAGTTTCCTGAATCAGCTGGTTTCCGAATCTGCGTTTTCCAGTTTCCTGAATCAGCTGGTTTCCGAATCCGCGTTTTCCAGTTTCCTGAATCAGCTGGTTTCCGAATCCGCGTTTTCCAGTTTCCTGAATCAGCTGGTTTCCGAATCCGCGTTTTCCAGTTTCCTGAATCAGCTGGTTTCCGAATCCGCGTTTTTCAGTTTCCTGAATCAGCGGTTTCCAGTTTCCGAATCCGCGTTTTCCAGTTTCCTGAATCAGCTGGTTTCCGAATCCGCGTTTTCCAGTTTCCTGAATCAGCTGGTTTCTCGAATCCTGGTTTCCCGAATCCGCGTTTTCAGTGCGTTTTCAGTTTCTGAATCCGCGTTTTGTAGTTTCCAGAATCAGGGTTTTCCAGTTTCCGAATCCGCGTGTTTCCAGTTTCCGAATCCGCGGCTGACCCCTAAAAGCCCTACGCCACGAAGCCGTAGCCGGGATTCCGAGGGCAACGAGGCGCACATTGTCCCCTACTGCAGCGGGCTTGGGAATCTCCGAGGTTCGGGGGTGTCAGGGCTTCATGGTTTTTGTATTTTCAGGGTATTCGGGTTTAGTTTATTTGTTAAGGGTCTGGCCTCTTAGGATTTCTGCTTTGGGGGGTGATTCAGGGTGATTTGAGGGTTTGGGACCTTGAGGGTTCAAGGTTGCAGGGTTCAGGGGAAGTGCTCACTCTCGTGCAGCTTTACCCGGCAGTGCTCGAAGTGGTCTGGAAGCAAAAAGGGAAGAGCGCCTTCTGGTAGCCACGGGTCGTATGCTCAGGCTCCGAGTTTGAGGACGTTTTCAAATTCACCGCACAACTTTGTCGGTGACCCGCCAGCCGGTCGCAAATGTACGGGCCAGGAACCCAGAAGAGCTTCCCCTCCAAAAATGGCTAGCCCTAGACCACTTGAGATGTTTTTGGTTGCGTAGCTCCAAGTTGGATCGGAGCCGCTGCTGTGTTGGGAGTGTAGGACAAGCAACAAGTACCCCTGCATTGTGTGTGGGCACTTCACAGCGACGCAGGGCCTGCGCAGATCGGGACGGAGTAGAGTCGTGGGGGAGTGGGGAATGACGTTGCCCCTGCCGAGGTGTAATACGAGCTTGGGGGCTCGGTGCCATTCAAGGCATTGCAAAGCATATGCCTTGAAGCCAATGATCGCTTGCATGAGGTGGGGAGCGGGCCCAGTCCTCTGCAAAGCATGTTCACTGTGATTATTCTGGGCCCGCGAAAGCTGTACAGCCCACGCGCCTTGTGAGAGTGACGGGGGCGCCCGCCTCTGCTGAAGCAGCAGGTGTGTCAGAATCTGCTTCCAGTTCACCAAGTGGTCCTTGCCAAGGACTACATGCATCCAGTGAGTCTAGCAGCAGTATAGAAGCAAGTGAACCTCGCCTCACGTGGACCTTTCAAGATGTACTGTATGTACTGTACAAACGGTTTGCGGTTTGGGGTAATTACCACACACATGGCAGGGTCAGGGCCCCTAACTCCCAACAGTCTGAGCCCGGTGGGTCACCTGGTCTTTCAGGCCTTGCGCTGACACTGACACGAAACCAGTCGTCCCGCACTAAAGTTCGGTTGACAAGCATGCAAACCCGAACCTTGCCAAGCCGCAAACACGTAGCATAGGGGTCGGACGAGCTACTAATATATTCCCTTCTGATCCCTCTGCAAGTATACTATAATAGCCCCACAAGACCCCATTTTTGAATTCTCAAGGCTCCTATATTAAGCCCCTCAGCTCTTCAGGCCTTCATCCCCAGCAACTCAAAGCGGAGCCTTGAAGCTGTGACTGGACAAATTGGCTTCCCGGGGTGAGCTTCGCTGGGGGCGCATCGCCAGCGGCGAAGCTTCTCTGGGGGCTCGGCAGGATTGCTGCGGCGTTCGGGGCCTGGCTTAGAGGGCGTTTAGGGCCGATCTTCCCCCTGTTGTCACCGGAGGAGGCATTCTGAGTGAAGAAGCCAAGCAGCAACCCGGCCTCCCTCCCAGCGGAGAGTATGGTACGGACTGCCTCCGCACCGGCAAACTTGACCTTTCCATTATAAACTCAGAAAGCCGTCAAAATCCTTATGTTTCTTTTGCTTGTGACGGCAGCAGTCCTGTACTCAGCTTTGTGGCTCAACTTGGCAGCTTCCGTGGGGAAAAGGTGCGCCGCTTGCCAGTTCTCGGCTGCCGCAAGATCTGTCCGCAGTAGACTGCCATGCTTCTTGCATCTTGGTGCTCCCATCCCATGGCCGAACCCTCAGATCCTCCTGTGCGAGAGAGAGGCTTGCGCATCTTGGTGCAAAGTCCGTAGGTGAAGAACTTTGCAGTGAAGTGATGCGAGCGAACCAAGAGCGAGAGCAAGAAAGTGCACAACACCTTCTTCGTGATTCGACTCTTGGCAGACGGAGACAGACATGGATGCCCGGCCCATTGACTGCTGACCTTGAGGGCGTCCCTGGTTTGGGCAGTTTTTGCTCAATCAGCCGGAGGGGCAGCATTTTCAACAGTCCCCACACCGCGCCGCCATGAGTCCGGCCCTCGGCCCGGTTGTGTCCAACCCGTTTGGGGTCAGCGCCGGAATGCGTGAGAGCCTCAGGGCATTCTCGGCGCTGCTCCCTTTATCAGAGCCATGCGCTGCTGCACGTTGTTGCAGGAACATGGGAGTGCTTGCAACAGAGAGTCGGGTCCGCTAATGCCTCCGGGTTGCCGGCATCTTGAACAGACATATCTGCGCCTTCGAAGAAAAGTATATTGAGACTTCGCGCCTAGGTCTCCAGGAGCTTCTTCGGGAGCAGCAGTCCATTGTTGCCGATCAGCACGCCGCGTGCAAAGTGGCAATGGCTTTCTCTTTTTGTCGTCGGTATTTTCCTTTTGTGGAGTTGGCTAGGTCTCGCTATCCATGTTCGCGAGCCCGAGCACTGACTGATAGCGATTCAGACGGACTCCTCGTTAAGTATGTTGAAGACTCTTAAATGTAATTAGGATATGCATGACGTGCTTCGGCATGTTGAGACGGCTAGGCGGAACATGCGATCGGAGTTCAACCAGCTCCGTCGGAAGCTTGCGACCCATTCAACCTTTTTTGTTTCAGGAAACATAGGTCATTCGCCAGATAATGTTGGTTGGTGTTAGTCACAGCCGGCACCGCAAGAGGTTAGATTCCGAGTTAAGGAAGATTGATGACTACGTTAAATCGGAGATGCAGCGCCTCAGCAGCCGCCTCGATGCTAACGAGGCTCGAATCGCGAGGCTTGTTGGGACTGCTGACAACACGGGTCTCGCGCAGTGCACTTGGAAGCATCTTTTTACACTCTTTGCTGATGTTGCAGACGCTGAGTAAAGTGCCCTTAGTGAGCACGAAGAGCCGGGGAATTCAGGCATGGAGGAGGCTTCCAAGAGCCTAGATGGCGCGGCGCGCTCCCTGTTTGAATCCACGGCGGTTGCGAAGCCGACTGCCCAGAGAGGTTCCAGGACGGAGAGGTCTGAGAGGCCCACCAACAGCAACGCACTGCCTGCCACGAAGTCCCCCCAGCTGCCCGTGCAGGGGCAGCGGCTAGGCTCACAGAGCCATATGATGTGATTTTCCGTCCTTTGGTTTGGGGTGTGCAGGTTGACCCCAAACATGACTTACGCCTAAACCCTGCCTTGTGCGAGAGTGAGCAAAGCTCGTCACACCCAGGAGGGCATCCTTCATGCAGAACGCCTCGGACAAGCAGGCAAAGGAGAACATTGCCTGGAAAGCAAAGATCGATAGCGCGGCCTCCACTGCGGAGACCCGGCTAGTCTTGAGCATTCTTGTGGAGGGGCCGGCGGGGGGGGGGGGGGGGGGAGGTGCACACGCTTGTACTACAAATCAACGAAAGCCAGCCGGCTCACGAAAATGCTGATTCCAGTGCTAAAGCCGCCGACATCGAGGACTGGCTTCAGAGACCACCCTCGGGCTCGGGCATATGGGTATGTCAGACATGTGCAAAATCCTTGTAAAACGTTAAGAACAAACGAAGAACGCTAACGCAATTCACGGATAGGGAGATGGATGGATAGGGGGTTTTCATGCCCCACTTTGTCATGTGCAATGCCTCTCTGTGTCAGGGGGCTCTTGGAGCAACCAAGGACCAACTGAAGAAGGCTTGCCACCAGGCAGGGGAGTTGCCAAAAAAACAGCCTTTCGATTTAGTTTTGTGGTTTAGGGGACCAGCATCAGAAGGATGTAGATCTTGAGGGCGCGTTGGGCATGAATAGACAGAATTCCGACCTATGCGTACACAAAACCTTTGCACCCCTGCCACTTGACTGAGCAGTCCTGGTACCCCAACAGAGCCCCAAGTTCCTCGAGAGCCTTTGTTAGGGCGGGGTTCCTTCAGAAGATCTTGTGAGCCCCCACAAGTCAAACAAACGAGGAACCGACTGCTTAATTCATGTGTGCTGAGAAGGTTAGCCTGTTAAGCTTTCCTCTTGTGTGCTATCAAGCCCCCCGTTGCAACTCCCTAAGTTCTACTTCTCCCCTTCAAAACTCAGCCAGTAAGCCAAGGCGCTCCCGCTCCAGCCCCCTTTCGCCCCAAACAGCCCGCAGAATGGTGCCTTTGAACACCAGAGGCCCAGATAGCATGGATCCACACAGCTTTCGGGATCGGGGTTCAGGGTCCGGAGATCGGTTGGAGTTCCCTAAACCCTAAACCCTAAACCCTAAACCCTAAACCCTAAACCCTAAACCCTAAACCCTAAACCAGGGTTCAGGTTTTGAACACAGCAAAGGCCCCTGCCTCGGATGTTTGGGAAGAGCCCGGCGAGACCAAGGTGAGCGGGAGGTGGTGTCATGTGGTGTCTAAGGATGTACTCGAGAAACTTCAGGGGCAGTGTAAGAAAGAAGCTGTGGCTCAGTTCTTCCCTTTGCAGAGCTGCTCCCGAACCTGACCTCCGCCCAAGTTCAGGCTTTTTGTATGGAGTAGGTATGTGGGTCCAAGCACGGAGCAGGGATGATCCACTTGGTACTGCTTCTCTGTTGGGACACAAATTCGGGAGCAACGCAGATGTGCGAATTGCTGCTGGCAAGCTTTCTGTGGCTCTTTCTTCCCAAATCAAGCGGTCCTCAAGGAGGAGTTGTTCACAACATAAGCCTGCCCAGGTGAGCAACACAGTGCTCGACCATGCCGAGGAGGCGCTTCGCCGGTGCTTTGAGAAGACCAAGGAGTTCCAAAAGCATGAGAGCCTAGGCAGCCTAGGCGGCCTATGGCGTTGTTCGGGGTTCACGCTCAGGTGCGCGGAAGAGATGCGGCGCATTGAGACTCTCTCACAGAACGCAGTGTTGGTCATCGTTCTTTTCTGCCAAGCTTAGGAACAATCCGCTCCTGGCCCTAAACAACCTCTTCAACCGTTTGGATCGGAATCACACTGGTAAGCTGGACCGTGGGGAGTTCGTGAATCTATGTTCCGTGCTGGACTTCCATGCGAACAACGATCTCATGAGCGCCTTGTTTAGGCGCTACGACCTCGATCGCAGTAACTACATCAAGATGGACGAGTTCGGGAGGATGCTCTTCAAGGCGAAAGCGAACAAAGCAGCGGCTAAAGGGCTGCCATATCGCCGAATCGGCCTAAAGCCCTTACAGTAATGAACTGAACAGCTACCCACACCGACATCAAGAGTGTAGGGAGGGGTGGGGTGGGTGGGTGGGTGGGTGATTGGATGTGGCATTCTTACTTGCGAGGTCCCTGGTGACAAGGAGGGCAAGGCTCTCAGCACTATCGCCAAGCTACGCGCGGCCTTGGCATTGCGCGCCGGCGGCTTTGAGACACTGAAGGCCATGTCCAGCCAGTTTCGGATAATCGACCGCAACCACTCGAACGAGCTTTCCAAGGAGGAGTTCAACACGGCCTTGGATGTGCTGCTTAATTGCTTCAACCTGCACTTTAGCGCGGCCGAGAAGCTTAACTTGTTCCAGCAGTTCGACCGGGACGGCTCTGGCTCAGTTGACTACAATGAGTTTGTTCGGGGCATCCGTGGAGAGATGAACGAATTCCGCCTGGAATGGGTCGACAAGGCCTGAAGGAGTTGGTCACTTTTTTTATGTATATTCAATGTCTGGAAAGTAACTGTACGTGTTTCTGCTTTCCCGTGAAGGCTTTCAGCATACTGGACAAAGATGGCTCTGGCGTGGTCACCACGGATGAGATGACCCAGACCTACGATGTCTCCCAGAATCCGGCAGTGAAATCTGGCAAGGCCGCTTGTGGGATGAGATTTAGCATTGCAAACTTGACTGAAGCCGTATGGTCGAACTTACATGGGGGCGGAATGAAATGGACTTTCAAGGGGCCCGGCGCCTGTAGGCCTGTAGGTTCTTCTCCCCAAGCCCTGATAAGTCGTAGCCAATCACCCTAACCGACAGCAGACATTCAGGCCAGTGCGACTGTACACTGTAGACTCGTAGACTCAGACAGGTTCAGGGCCGTAGCCACGAGAGCTGCTTGTGGGTTTCTTGGTGAGCTGGCATGCTTGCCTGCCAGTCACACAGGCCAGGAAGCAAAAAGAAAACATGCGCAAGCTGGTCGTCCGAACTCTTGCAACCCCCAACGGTTTAAGAGCCTGCTCAGAACTCTCTTGATATAGCATGGTATAGACTAGGATTCTTCTTTTACAGCCTTAGTCGTTTTTTTGTTGTTTTTTGGGTGGCCCTCTGTATCCAAGACGGGCTCCTTATGGCAGCTCTCAGGCCTGCAGCCAATGTACCCCTCAAAGCTCATATGCAGCATATGCGAGGTGACTCCACAGCAGGCCATGAGCCAGTGCCCTGGACCAATGGTCGCTCATGAGAGCTCTCACATCTTCAGGGCTGGGGTTCTAAGGCTTTGGGGCTTCTACGATGTCATGAACTGCTTGAACTGCAACTGGTGCAGTTGTGCTTGTCCGGTTGTGAAAAGAAGCGGACTAAGAATCTATGTTCCACCTTGACCTGGCTACGTGCGTTTAGGTCTTCTTGGATGCTCGTGTTCCCACCAAGGGGCCAAGGGGCATTACAGGGTTTAGGGTCTACAGGCCTTAAAGAAGTTTACAGGGCCTCTGGCATGCCCGCATGTTTGAATCTCGTTTTGTTGCTTCAGCTTCTGAGAACACCTTTCAACATCTTCTCCCTGAGCAGACGCGCTCTGTACATGCGGTCTGCTGCCGGCAGTTTTTCTTCTACGGACGAATTGTTTCTGCCGGATAGTACATCTTCGTGAAGCTGCAGTCGAGAGAGACTTCAGCTAAATTTGCTTGTCATCAAACATCCCAAAGCTCAGCAAGGTTCATGCAGCACTTCGACGCCAACTCTGACGGTCGCATTACGCGTGAGGAGTTCATTGAGAACTACGAATGGGTGAGTGCATCCATTGACAGAGCCCTAGCTGCAAAGTATGGTCGTACTGTCAGTCCCACGAAGCTTTGAACGCACTGGCTGCTCCCATTTTGTTTTTAAATCCCCCTTGGGAATTAGTTTTTATTTTTGTTTATATAAAACCCAAGAGGATATTAACAATAGTATTTTAATTAGGGTTCTAAGGGGGAGTATAGGCCTGGTTCCTCCAGTCATGGGATGCAAGGCGATGACTACTTCGAGCTGATGATGCGCAACGCTTGGCACATCGCTGGAGGTGCCAACTCCCTCCCCTTGATATATCCCTTCCAGCATGACGCGCACAGCTAAATGCATAGCTAAACCAATACGAGGCCAGGGGGGGCGGGGGCTTCGGTTGCTTTTGTCCCTAAGACCTAAGCCCTAGACTGTAAGCCCCCTAGTGAGACCCTCGACCCCTAAGCCCTATGCTCTTCTCCTCTTTTCTTTTTCTTCCGTCTCCTCTCTCTCTTCTTTTTCTTATCTTTCTTATCTCGCTCTCTCTCTCTTTCTCTTATCCCTCTTCTCTGTCTTCTCTCTCTCTCTCCCTCTCTCCCTCTCTCCCTCTCTCCCCCCTCTCTCTTCTTTCTCTTTCTCTTTCTCTTTCTCTTTCTCTTTCTCCTTTCTCTTTCTCTTTCCGTTTCTCTTTGTCTTTGTCTCTCTTTCTCTTCTCTTTCTCTATCCCTATCTGTCTCTCTTTTTCTCTTCCCGTTCACCTTTCTCGTTCTCCTTTCTCTTTCTGTTTTCTTGCTCTTTCTCTTTATCTTTTTCCCTCTCTGTCTTTCTCTCTTTCTACCTTTCGCTCTTTCTCTTGCTCACCTTTCTCTTTTTCGTTCACCTTGCTCTCTTTCTCTTTTTCTGGCTTTCTCTCTTCCTCTCTTAGTCTCCCTCTCTCTTTCTCTCTATCGCTTTCTTTTGTGCGTGCGTGCGTGTGTGTGTGTGTGTGTGCGCGCATATCAACGTACAGCAGCAAACGCCTTCTCATCATCATAATCCTGAAAATGGCAAGACCCATTTTAAGAAACGAGTAATGCAAAAATACAGAAGTACGGTTGCAGATAAGAATAGCCAGTAGTTAGTAGTTCCCAGAAGGAGACTCATTGGCAGGTGAAGGCTGGTGTGCCAACACCTCCAACCTGAGGGTCCTGGTGAAGCACACCCGGTCCCCGGACGAGGCCCGGGGGAGGGAGGGGGGGGGGGAGAGCTTGAAGGAATTTTAAGGCGCTCTTGCAGCTTAGAGGCTTACAAAGGATCCGAGATATAAAAGCCTGAGCCTGCTGTTTCTGTTCAAGGGCGGATTTAGCCACACTTGATCACACTTGCCCGAGTTGTAAGCTGCTAGACCAATGTCATTCAAGATGATATAGCTGGATCGGCGCATGCTCTAGCCTGAGAGTGGAAATCTCCAAGCAACCCATATGCGAGGTCGTCTGCGTGCTGAACGACCTGGGAATGCCCAGAGACCCCCAGCAGCGCACGCCGTGGGTCATGGCCCGACTCCGTGAACAAGGGGTGTCCTCGACGACAAAAATGGCTGTTAGAAGGTCTTGTGAGGGGCTGTCGGTTGCTTGTGCATCTGTTCTTGAGCCCTAGCCGGCCCAAACCAAAACCGTAAGCTGTGGACTCTCAACCGTCTAAACCCATTGTTCTATGGTGCGCGTGCGAGATGGGGATGGGTGGGCGAAGGACCGGTGTGTTTGGGTTGGTGCATCGTAAGTTTAGGGCTTCGATTTAGGGACAGGCTGTTGTTCCATTTTTTTACAGTACATGTTGTGGAGGCCATGCGAACTTTGGAGGCTTGTTCGGCAGGGGTTTCCGCAGTCTACTTTCACAAGCTGAGGTGAAAGACATTGCAAAAATTGAGCTCCCTGGCAGCCAGTCTCCGGGTGTTTCTTGCTTTCAACGATGCCCGATGCCAGGACATGTCTTTCAGTGTTTGGGACTGGCAACCTCCCCGCTTCCCTGAATCACAAGCCCTGAGCTAGTTAAACCCGAGGAAAAGTCATGTGCAAAGAAAAGCGGAAAGGAGGCGTCACCCGCGAAGCCTTACAACCAAAACCTCCATGTGCCAGGAGGCCTCGAACCTTCACAATATCAATGAAGCACCGCTTGGGCTGGACCTTGCCTATCAGGGTATTACGGCATCGCAAATGAGTGAAGGCTGTGAGTCTGTGAGGTACTGCGGCTGACGCGATGCTGGGTCGGATTGAAGTGAAGTGCAACTCTCGCGGCTTTGAAGTCGGCGTTTGCGATTCTTTCGTGGAATCCCTATCCGACTCCACGACCGGCTTTGAAGCCCTATAGGATCCCTAGTAGCTCCTACAAGAGTACCTTGAAGCCTCGAAGTTTCGACATGAGAGAGCAACCGCCAGACAACGTAGGGTGGCTCTTACAGTCCTTACAGGCTTACAGTGCCAGTTTGGGCCCTTTGGCGGCTGACACAAAAAGAGGTCGGCGACCAAGTGGCCCAGACCCTTCGAAAGATAGACTGGACTTTGAGGCCAAAGGGCCACAAGCGTAATCTTTTGGATGCCCTTCGCTAGCGACTTTGGCTGGAGGATGAATGGGATGCTGTTTCTATATCTAAACCCTATAAGCCGTACAGCAAGAGGCCTCGGATTCTTTGTTGCAAGCTCTGGTCGACCAGTGAGAAGGGCTGCGACACAACTACACGCAGGGGTGTTGCAATTCCGAAGGTTAACTATTAATGAAGGTTGAGGGTTGCCGGATTTATCGGCTTACTTACGAGGGTATGGAGTTTGGGAGCGGTGTTTCAAGTTTTCTCCAAGCCCCTCGGGCTGTGGGCAGCGCATCATTGCTTGAGCGAGTGATCAAAGACACGGGGCGAGCCGCGAACAGCTTACACCGAGCTGCAGCGCACGAGCACGGCTCAGTGAACTTGTTCCCTGGGATTTCGCCAAGAGAATCTAAGAGAACAATCAGACTAGCATGCTGCGGGTTTCAGGGGTTTGGTGCAGGAGTCCGGAAGCAAGAAACAAGAAAGGGGCTTTGCGTTTTGACAGCACTCCATCCCCCCACAAGAATCTACACACAGAACTTGCGGATTTTAAAGTTTGGCATTAGCTGTTTCGAACGTTGAGGGGTTTGTGGTTCGGTGTAGGCTTGGGCGATATTGACTAGCCCTGCGCAGCAGCACCCATTTAGCAGTGCAGAGGGTTAAGGGTTGGGCCTCCGCCAGGGCTTTTGTGCACATCTCTCAAGTGGCAGTGTCGACAGCAAGTGAAAGAGCAGCCGGCGTGATCCATGGGCTCTCAGTACACACACAACACGTGAATTACTTTGATGTAATGACCCCCCCCCCCCCGCATTGGCCAGAATTGATCACCCTTCCAACATGTGCGTTCCAGCATGCGTCCCCGCGCTTTAGTTCCTTATTTGAGTATTGGGTCGTCATTGCCGAAGCCATCAGCATCAAACTTCAACTACATCAAGTCAAGAAACAGCTGTGCTCCAGAGGCCGCCAAGCCTTTTCCTTCTAAGAATCCCTGAAGCCTCTTTGCCGTAGCTTCTACCTAAGAAGGGCACAAAAGGGCGTCTTTCATGAATAGTCCGCTTTTTTTCTGGAGAGGCTCTGGGAGGGGAACATTTCAACATGTCCGGGTGCTGTGGCCCTTTGCGCTGGCTGCTGAAACGGGCGGCGCGGCACTGGGCCCCGGCGCGCGCGCACCAGGAGCTCCGAAAAGGGAGGTGGGGGAGGGGCTGGACGTGCACTTCAGCACTTTAGTACAGGATCTTTGGAGGTTGAGGGTTTAGGTTTGGGGCTTAGACCGCGAAGCCGAGGGAGGCAAGGCTGTTAGGGTCCCTGTCTCGCCATGGCTTGGCGTTGTGCTGATCAAGTGCCGGAAAACGTTACATGGCCTATCGTCTGAGGCTGTGCCCAAAAAACGCCATCTGCACCAGGAGGCAAAGTCTCCGGAGAAGAGGTGCCTCGCCTGTCCGTGCGAAACCTGCGCCAAGGCCGCTGCATTTCTGACCTCACCTCAGGGCATCGAGTGTCTGGGCGCAGCTTGCGCAGACCCCGCGACTTGCTCTGAAAGCAAGAACTGAGCCGAAACGAGTTGAAACCTGGTCGCCTTGAGCATGCCTGAAGCCTGACAGAAGCTGTAAACTGTCCAAAAGCCCCCCCTCCTTGCCAACTTCGAAGTCAGCAAGTCCCAGATGCGCGATCAGCCCCCAAGTACCGAAAAATCCTTCCTCCTGCCAGGCCGAGGACGTAACCCGGATCCCCTGAAGGCCTGTACCCTGCAACACCCAGACACCCTCCCAGACCATACCAGTGTGAGAGAAAACCTTGTGAACCCTGAAATCTCAACATCAGGAAGTGCACCGAGAAAAAAACCCTGAGCCCCTTAACCCTGAACCCTTTTTTTTCCCTGAACCCGAAGCCCCACACCAGCGCTAAATGAACCTAGGAGATTCTTGCACGGCTCTCTCTATGCAGCCGCTCGCAGCACCGGACGGTCCACGACGCGGAGTTCCTCCAGCGTCGAGCGGCCAGCGCCACTTCATTGAGTGTCAGGGCTTCGGGTTTCAGGGGTTTAAGGTCTTGGGTCTAGGCTGTTTTCGAGTTCAGGGCTGGGAGTTTATAGGATTTGGGCCCGGATTTCCGTGAGGGGATGTGTCTGCACATCCTGGCTACTTGAAAGGCCTTTTTAAAAGCATTCGGCCCGGAACCACCATCTTCCGGGAGGCAGAACTCGGAAAGCGGGTCGCATCTCCGGCGCGGCTGGAGCAGCTTGCGTTCAGCGTGGCCGTAGAGCCCCTCTGCGGCCTGGATACGAACCACATCTACTTCAGCCCCTAGGTTGGCAATGCTGGGGCGCCCTTTAGCCCTTCTTTAGGTTTCCCCCCCCCACAGAAGTGGCTCAATAAGAGGCTCGGAGATGCCGGATGAGGGCCCAAGCCGTGCACGAGCATCAAGATGCACCAGACCAGGGCAAGGGCCCCCTTGCTTGCATTGTCGTGTGGGGTGTGCGCATGGAGACCTGTAGACCTAAACTGAATTTCCTTGTCCACGTGCCCCCCGGCCCCCCTGGCGCCTGCGAGACTCTGAGGTTATGGCGGGGGATCTCAGCTACAAGGCCGGGGCGCTGAAGACCAGGTACTTTCCGTGACCGGACCATGAGCGGTTTGGGGTGAGGGTTCAAGGTTCAAGGTTTCCAGGAGTCAGGGCTCCTTGGAAAGCAGGGCCCGCACAAGGCTCAATCAATGTTTGCTTTTGGTTTTAGAGCAGGCGTCTTGGCCTGAAGCGCCTAACATGTACACGTCACGTAACCCGAAAAGGCCAACCCTTTCGGCCCTTGCAGTGCTCGTCGGGTTTGGGCATTAGGGTTCGGGACGTAGTGTCGGGAGTCCCCCCCCCACCCACCACCCCACCCACCCAAAGGCATTGCCTCAAAAATCCGGTAGACACAGCGCTGGATTAGTTAGATGCATACACATACACATAATAATTTAAAAAAGCAAATACATAAGCACACACACAGATATGTGTGTGTATTTGTATATGTATATATATATATAGTATATGTATACATATCTCTCTCTCTCTCTGTATGTACTTGTTTTTGATCCTTGCATGGACAAACCCCAAACCCTGCGCTCAGGCTCGGAGCTCCCCTTCCTGGCAAAAGCCGCAGCTCTGGCACGGCGCTTTTCGCACCATGGCTGCGGGCAGTCTCGGGCTTCAGAGGCTCAAGACTCAAGTACACACACATTATATATATATATATATGTATACATATAAATATGTGTTCATTAATGTGTATATAATATTTCAAGATTGAAGATCCCGCAGGAGTTTTTTCTTTGCTACATTCTTCAGGAAAATGCCATTCTTGATCTGATTTTGAGTGTTGAGCCTTTTGTCCGCACAGAGAAGATTCTAGAAAAACTTGTCTGTGGGACCCTCAATCTTCGATTTCGATCAAATATGAAAAACTCGAACTATGGTTTTTCCAGAATTTTGAAATGTTTTAAGCTCGCCCCCCAACCCCTGCACCCCTGGATGGCGGACACTCCGCAACGGCAGGACACTCTCCGCAAACGATAGAAGTGACATTAAAAGCGCGAACTGTGGCCAGACGTGTTTTGCCGGAACGTTTCCCAACAACAACGTTGGTTTAGTTGGGATCCCCTTGAGTGGGTTATGGTTTGTGTGCCCTCGTGAACGTTCGCTTAAAAAGACAACTCTTGGACTTGTGGGACTAGGGACATGGTCCCGTCCGTTTTGGGTTTTTGGATAGCAGAAAGCGTGCTAAAGACCTGCATCCGGTTAAGGAAGCCACGTTTCCGAGCATGCGGCAAGTCAAACAAGCATCGCCTCTTCATGTACATATACATTAAGGAATATTGCAGCTCAGATCCCCTATCAAGCCATAAGTTATGTGTTTAAAAGGCCACTGAGTTATGTGTTGAGTTGAATCTGCACATGGGCATGTGGGCCCTCTTTGGCCTGAGGCGGGTCAATGTACACATCGATGCACACGCAGGAGCGCCGAGGTTTCAGGGTTGAGGGTTGAGCTTTATTTACGGGGCCGTTCGGTGACTGGCTGGCAGCAGCTCAGCGGCCCCGGATCTGGCCAATGAGGGTGCAGAATTCAGCTGCAAAGTTGTGGGTGTTGACGCTTTCTCCAGACGCCCAGCATGGGTTCGGGCTTGGAACTTGAGGCGCAAGGCTTCCCTTACCTTTTGGGTTTCAGGGTTTGAAGTGGCTCCACGTCTCCCAGGCGTGAGAGCACCAGGCAGATTGGTGGCGAAGAGGACCTCCCAGGCGCTTCAGGATATGTGACGATGGTTTTTCGGCTCGGGGTCCTGCTTCTCTTCAAGTCGAAACTCTGAGCCCGGGGCTCCCCCAACCCTGCCCCATATAGGCTCCCCCCCCCCCACCCCACCCCATGAGAAGAAGCACTTTCAGGCACGCGCCAAGGCCATCCTGAAAGAGCTGGTGGCTCAGGGCCTCCCCGAACCTTGGCCCCAATTGCAATATGGTGACCAGTTGCTCGTAGGTGACAGTGTTGCATTCTGCAAGAGTCACCAGATGCCCTTCCCCCAAATACTCACCCCTACGAAGTCCTTAATTCCAACTATCCAACACTCAAACTGTTTGACAGCAGAGGGGGGGGGATTGGGTTGTAGGGTTCGGGGCCAACTGAGGAGAATCGAATCAGCTTCACTGCTTGGGGGAGGCTCGCAAAGGGTCAGGGACGCTGCCAAAGAAGTCACTATTGGTCGAGCTGGAGGGCTTATTCGGTTTGGGCGCGCACGCACGCGCGCGCGCGCGCGCGCGCGCGCGCGCGTGCGTTCGTGCGTGCGTGCGTGCGTGGGTGGGTGGGTGGGTGGGTGGGTGGGTGGGTCGGTGGGTGGGTGGGTGGGTGGGTGGGTGTGGGTGTGTGTGTGTGTGTGTGTGTGTGTGTGTGTGTGTGTGTGTGTGTGTGTGTGTGTGTGTGAGAGAGTGAGTGAGTGAGTGAGTGAGTGAGTGAGTGAGTGAGTGAGTGAGTGAGTGAGTGAGTGAGTGAGTGAGTGAGTGAGTGTGTGTGTGTGTGTGTGTGTGTGTGTGTGTGTGTGTGTGTGTGTGTGTGTGTGTGTGTGTGTGTGTGGTGTGTGTGTGTGTGTGGTGTGTGTGTGTGTGTGTGTGTGTGTGTGTGTGTGTGTGTGTGTGTGTGTGTTGTGTGTGTGTGTGTGTGGTGTGTGTGTGTGTGTGGGTGTGTGTGGTGTGTGTGTGGTGGTGGGTGTGGGTGGGTGGGTGTGGGTGGGTGGGTGGTGGGTGGTGGGTGGGTGGGCGGGCGGGGGGGTGGGTGGGTGGGCGGGTGGGTGGGTGGGCGGGCCTTGCCAAACAAGCCTGCATGTCAACGGACGTCAGAAGCGAAAAGGATCTCTCCCATGACACGTGTCAAAACAGTGTACGAGTAGGGTTTTCAAATAAGATGGCTTTGACAAACAACTCCCCCGAAGTCGTATCAGACACGCCTCTCAAGAGAGTCGAACACTTGACTCTCTCGCTTTGGATCTTTTGCTTGGCCCAGCCTTGAGTCCAGTATTTGCTGTCTAGCCCTACTTGTAGCCACCGCTTATGAGGGGGCAAGTTGCCCACCCCAACTGCCACTCCTACCCAGTATAAGGACACACTCGTAATGCTTTGGGTCAGGGGGGTAGTCAGGGGTGAGGCCGAACAAAAAGTGATGATTGATTTTGGGGTGCGGGCTCGGACTCAGGGTCGAAACTTACGAGGTGTGTGGGAGGCTGTGAAGTTTGGGCTTCTTCGCGTTAACTCAGACCCAAACCCTTTGAGGCTGGTGTCTGCGGCCTGGCCTGAAAACGAGCGGGTCGCGAGGGCCGAGGTTTACTTTAAGCTGGAGCCGGGGCAGCATCGAGAGGCGGCTTCAGGCTTCAGTTCTGAACCAGAATCATTTCTTGCCCACCCATCGACTTGGGCTATCAGGGTTTTGTTGGCTTCGTCTATTGGTATCCCTTCGACTTGCACTAAAGGCAACCAATCGCCAGCTGGCCCTCCCCAGACCTGAGCCTTTGGCAAAAGTGCCAGAACCAACCCTCAACCCCAACATAAACTTGAGAACTAGCAAGTCACAGGCTCCAGGATATTCTAGCTGTTCTTCCCCATGACTGTGAGGATGACATGGTCTACCCAGAGAGGCCAGAGTACTACAACGTGCGATCGCAGCTTTTGGGACTGCAAGGCTTTGGGGGGTCGTCATGATTGAAGTTTCTATATCCTACCAAGCTTGGATATGATTTATCTTTCAATCGACTTTCTCACTTGGTGAATGGAGGTAAGGGGTGTCTACTGTATGGGGTCCAGTGGAGGCTTAGGCTCATGAAGGGCGGGGAAGGTCGGATAAATTGGGAGATCTGCGGAGATGACGGGCACCGTGATCCTCCTTGAACCCCCAGAAGCCCCGAACCCTAAGCAAAAATGGGCGAACTAAACCCGAAACCCTCCTAAAATCCCCTTAGCTTCCGCCGAACCCTGAGACTTTAGGAACGTTTTGGCTTGTTTGCCCAGGCTGGGCCTTGCCAGCCCTGCCGATTCCGAGGAGGAGGTGGGGAGGGGGGGACCCTGACTAGGGTTTAGGGTTTAGGATGCATAATTTCCTCGACCTCATTCGTCCTTCTGCACGCGGAGCTTCATCATAATCTGGTCGTGATGTTCGGTTGACATTAAATGTGGTACCCCCCCCCTTCAATACAAAAGGAAACAAGCAACCACCATGGGGTGTCTAGGCAGGGTTAACATTCCTCTTTGGCCGTAAAGCCTAAACCCTAAACCCTCGGGTCAAATACTGCAGGCGGTGCACCGCCTGCGCCTGCGCCACGTGGAGGCCTGGCTGCAACTCGGGGGTTCAAGGAGCCCAGAATGCTGGGTCACCTTGTTGGTTATAATTTTACACTCTTGTCAGATGAAATTCTCAATAGATATAGCCCCAGCAAGGAGGCAGACTCACCCATCAGAGGCCCAGTGCAGGTTTAGTTTGGAGTGTCCACACTGTTTGGGCTTCGCGGGTTTAAGGTGGGGGTTTCGTTCAGGCTTCTATGGAGGTTTGGAATCAGGCGTGGGGGTTTGGGACATGTCGCGTATGTACCTACAGAGTACAGATTGCAGAATCACAGTCATGTTGTGTAGGGTGAGCTTGTTTCCTTTGTTACAACTTCGGGTGTCCCTGGTACGCCTTTGCGTAGGAACTCTTCAAAACCCCACGAAAGGAACCCTCACTGTCGTTGAAGTCGGGAGGGGAATGTTTTCGGACTGGGTTTTTGGGGATCTGTTGCAGCTAGCTGTACCTTTTTCTGGCTTTGCGGATTCATCTCTTATTGCGAGTTGGGGTTCGAGCTTTGCTTTAGGGTGCTGTCGGTTCGCTTTTCGAAATCGGGGTTCTTTGTGGGACCCATGCGGGCGCCCAGGACGATCTTCTGCTCTTCGTGCCGGCTACGACTGGCTTCCAGCTGGTGTCCATCGCCAACACGGCTTAAGCTGAAGGTCAGATCTCCCCCCCACCCCCCCCCCCCCCCCGATGTTTAGGGTGTAGCGTTCGGGGTTTAGGGTTTAGGGGACAGTCCCGAACTATTCACTGACATTACCCCTCAGACGTGAAGGATCTCCCGGGTCCGGATGTGTAAGGGTTTTGTCTATATTTCCCCACCCATTCCCGGCATGCCGGAACCAGCCCCCTCGCATCTCGTTGGCCGGGCCATCTTCCTGCGCCTTTGGCGGCCTGAGATTTCATCCTCCTGGCCCTTGCCAGGCGCGCGGAATTAGGGATGAAGCGCGTTTCAGTGGCTTCGGGCACCGGGGTGTGGAATAAGCAACCGCGACCGTAGCCTCCTGTGAGCTTTAAGAAAGCTTCGAAGATCGAAGTGATGGATACCAAATTTCGGGGTGAAAGCGCTCATGCGCGCAGAGTTCCCAGTCTTCTTTTCTGTCGGGGCACAGAGTGATGGGGTTTCGAGGTAGATGCGTGGTTCAAGGTCTTGCGAAATGTGGGTCAAGGGGGTTCGCTTGCGTCCCGCAACTGGCATGCTGAGTTCTTCGCCTGGCGACATGGAAATTACCGTTTGGCTTTACTTGCAGAGGTGGTTTAGAAAGAAGACTTGGTCTCAGAGCCTTCGGCAACTTGTGAACACCCTATCATGCACACTTGGCATGAGCAATTTCCCAGCTGCTGGCAGAGAGCATTGCAATCACACCATTCCCCGGTTGGTATCGCCTTGCGAGCAAGTGGCCATGTGGCCTCAAGTCTGTCCTGTCAGGATGGATCTTTCTGAGCTCTTTGCTTGTAGATAGAGGCGAAGCCACGTCCCGATGGGTTGTTTCCTTTGGCTGTCGGGATTTGTTCCTTCGGTCCCGCACGTGGTTCTGCATGACATATCCTGGGCGGAAGGCTGGCGACTGGGACATGGCTTCGGAAGCAAGTTTTTCGGTTACCCGCGACGACTTAGACCAACTTCATGACAGCATGTGAGGCATCCTCACATGCAGCTTCCTCTTCTGCTATCGGGGTGAACCGGTCAACTTGCACTTAGCTGCGCAAAACACAGATTGCAGCATTGCATGCGGCACAAAGCCTGCAGATTTCGACGAGGGCCGCAAAGCCACAAATGCTCCACCGATGCCCAAGCTCTCGCTTCACTCGCTCCGGGTTATCTCTGCACCTCAATACAAAACCTCCAACTGCTCGTCGAAACGAACTCGGAACAACCGGTCCTCAGAAGAAGCAAAGATCAAAGACAGTGACCCTACGGCCCAGCCAAACCTGCATCAGCGGCTCGGATCATCAAACACAAATCGACTCGGGCTCAGAGCCGCACTTTGTAGCAACCTTAAGTGGGCCAAAGCACACTGCAGCCAATCCACGGCATTCCGCGTGCGAGCCAGAGCAAGTTGCTTTCGACGAGTTCGTCACGGCCCGGCATGCTGCAGCAGAAACTCAGGGTGTGTTGAAGCTGCTGTTCGTGAGGGTAAGTATGTGTGTGCACGGTGTCCTTGGCAAGCTTGGCTTAGAAACTGCAGGCGCCAGATGTTTGCCAATGTCAACGAGTCGTTTATTAACTCCACACACTGCGAGAACAGAGCATGGAGAGCAGACAGCAGCTTTAGTGTAGTACAGTGTAGTTTAGGGTTTAGGGTTTAGGAGTATCATGCGGTTGCGCTGGGATGCTACACATGACATAGTAGGGTCATCTTGGAAGATGGCCGGGGAACAGCAATGGCAACTGGGGCCACAAGATCACCAGCAGCTTACGGAGCTCTTCCCCATTTACTTCCCGGTGGAGGAGGAGCAGGGCCAGACGCCGACCATGAGTCGCCCAGAAGTTCAGGAGGCCCCAGGGGGGTTGGAGATGGGCTTGCGGGTTGAGGGTTTAGGGTTTAAGGCTTAGGGTTTAGGGTAGTTTAGGGTGCAAGAGAAGGCCGGCAGAGGAGGTTCTCCCGAGTACAGGGTGGGTTATGGTGCCGTGAGGCGCTGCAGTGGTGCCTGGCCTTTGCGAACGCGGTCCTCAATCCGCGAAGCGTAGACGTTCTCACTGCTTTCCAGACGACCAGGGCCCGCTTTACGCTGGAGGCCCGAAGTCTCAAACCGGGAGCATGACCAGCACAGGGGTCATGATCTGTAATTTACACATAAAACCCTAGTGTTCAGCGAGAGACCGCAACCCGAAGAAACCCAACATCGCATTGTAAGAGTCCTGCCGGCCCTTTAAGCAAAAAATCGGACACCCCCATCGCAATTCCCAAGTGGACCTAAGCATTGTTGAGAAGGCTTCGTTGTTCAGGAGCTCTGAGTATCTTAGGGCTTCAGGACTCTAGGCTTTGGGGGCTCTGGGTAATATAGGGCTCGGACTAATTCCTGGTCCCTATACAACTCCACTATAATAACGCCCCCCCCCCCCGCTCCCAAATCCTTTTCTCACTATCAAGGCCCTTCAGGCCCCTGTATTCGTTTCGAGGGCTTTTTCAGGCTTCCCGGCAGCCGAGGATCTCAGGTCGCTGCGAAGCGACCGAAGCCGCGAGGAGTTTTCCAAGCAGCTCTACAGCCAGCCCTTCCGTTTCCTTGCAGAGGCCCCTGGCTTGCCTGGCTTAGGGTTCGGTAAGGTTTAGGGTTTAGAAGTTTTTGTCGGGTTTAGGGTTTAGCAAAAGAGGCGTCTTCTGCAACTTTCTCAGGAGGGGTTTCGTTCGGGGCGGGGGGGGGGGGGGGAGATTTGTTTCTTTTTTGGGGTGCATGTGGAGTCTGGTAGTTCATTCATCCTTTTTCCGTGTTTATGGTTGCATATGGTTAGGGTTTAGGGTGCTCGGGGACATGATCACTTAATTTATTTTTCTTTTTGTGCTTCGAAAAGGTGGGATTGGGCTTCGATTTGGCGAACTCGGCAGTGAGAAGGCAGTGCCCAGAGCACCTTGGGCGCTTTGTTCAATCTTCCATTCCAATACAGCCCCAACTGAACCCTGACAAACCCCAAAACCACAAACCCCGGGCATAGAACCCTAAACCCAGGCCTCTTGCTTGCTGCCTTGAGCCCCCTTAAGAATTATGCTGTAGTAAGCATTCTCACTAACAGTGTGAATGCGTTGTTAGTATCATGTTCTTTCTGCGTCGTTTGCGCGCACTCTCTGAAATTTTTTGTATACAACCCAAGATAATAAAGATAGTTTGCTTATTAAGGTTCTAAGGGGAGTATAGCTGCGAGCGAGTGCGAGAGTCGAAACCAAGGCATTTCCAAGCTCAAGGCGATGCCCACTTCCACAAGGCAGCCCCCGTCTTGCAAAGGCCCGTGGATGTGGAGGCCTCTCCTTGAGCCCAAACGAGGGCTAGGGTTTAGAAAAAAAAGGTTTAGGGCTTAGGGTTTACGATTGGGTTTTTTTAGGGTTTAGGGGTAGGCAAAGCCCAGATGAAGAAGGGTTTTGCCGCAACAAGGGGCCCCAAGGGGCGGCGGTCTTGTTGGCTCGTGCGGGCCCTGGGGTCAAGTGAAGTTCCTGCTTGAGAAAGCACTGTGATTGATCGAGAAAAAAGACGCTTACTTTTTGGGGAGCTTGAATCAACGTAGGGTGTAGGACGCGAAGCTAGGTAGGACAAGCACGTCTGAGATTGTCCTTCTCCTGTAATAGCAGCCCTCCCGAGGTCGTGGCCAAGGAGTTGGAGCAGCCAGTGCAGTCCGTGAGATCCGATCTAATCGACCGCTACGTCGGCTTGAAGGGAAGTATTGCGCCTCGCTCTTTCGCTTGGCTGCCGTGTCTATGCCGTTTAAGTTTTTGCAAAACCGTTTTCATTGGACTGAAAGAGACTCACCTGTTCTCAGGTGAGGGCCGCCAGCATCGCACCTCTCATCACCGATGTCAGCTTCACTTGCTCGAGGTGCAATTCTGAGGTGCGGGTATCCGCAGTGGAGGGCCGCTTCCAGTATCCGTCCAGCTGCCCCAAGAAGCTTGAAGTCACTGAGCATCAGGCACTTTTGTGCTGTCTGTAATTAGCGGGCCCCATGGAGTGTGGTTATTTCTTGCATTATCCCAGTGCTTGCAGCTGTTTGCATAGAAAGGAAATGCCGATTTGCGCGCTTCAGCGCGAACCGGGACAAGTGCCAAGCCATCGATTGGCAGAGGATACGCCTGCAGGAGGATTTCTCCGAGCTCGTAGCTTCCGGCGCGCCTCAGCGGCGCATGCCACGCACATTGGACTGCGCCTCTTGGTGGAGTTGGGCGTTTACGGGGTTTAGCCTTGGCGCCTGCAAGGCCTCATGCCCAGAGTTGCAAAAGCCGAAAAAGCCTTGACGTGTGAATTCCTCTGAAGCCCTAACCATACAACCCCCAAACAAGGATCTGAAGAGAAGCCTGGTGGGCTCCTGTGTGCCGGGCGACGCGGTGACTCTGTACGGCATCATCCGCTGCATGCCCACCTCGGGGTGGCTCGGCCTCTTTGTTTTTTTTGCTCAAAGAAGGTCGGGACCTGTGCGTGATAGGGGTTTAGATGCGAGATTCAAGCGGGCTTGGTCTGCAGAGTTGCAAGAGACAGAAAGAGAGAGAGAGAGAGAGAGAGAGAGAGAGAGAGCGAGCGAGCGAGCGAGCGAGCGAGCGAGCGAGCACGTGCATGACGGCAATCGGTTTCGGTGGTTTGGGCCTCTTGATTCGAAAGCTTCTCCAAACCAACCCAGCAATCAAATCATGCACGTGCCCTTCCAAAGCCGGAACGCGAGCGTTTGTGGCAACTTTCGGGTGTGACAGAACAAAGCCATGGACCTTCACGGTATGGCTGTCTCGCCAGTTGTCAGGGGCAAACCGATCAGGACGGCGTATGGGGGCGGATGGCACACAGCCTTCGGCAAAGGCCGTCGAACCCCCCTAGCCTTCGTCGAAACCCTTGGCCTTCGTCGAACCCCCCTCCCGGCCCTTGTGGCCTTCGTCGAACCTCCGGCCCTTCGTCGAACCCTCGCGTTTTTTTTCGGGCTTTGTCTTGGCCTTTTGTATCGGCCTTCGTCAAACCCCCTCCCCCTTCGTCGAACCTCCCGGCCTTCGTCGAACCTTCGCCCGGCCCCCCGGCCTTCGTCGAACTTCGCCTCGGCCCGTTGGTGTCCCGAGTCTTCGTCGAAGTTCCCCGGCCATCCTGCTCTTCGGCCATCCTGATGTGTTTTCCCCTTAAGTTGTGCTCCAAACCTCTTCAACTGATGCCAGCCCCCATTCTACTGCATATAGCATGTGTATATATGCATGCGCATGTATATACATATATACATACGTGTGTATATATATATATACACATGTACGTGTATATAAGTAAATGAATAAATATAAATATAAATAAATAAATATGTATATTATATATATACATACACATACATATATACAAAATAAAAACAACAATAAATAAATAAATAGATAATATATATATATATATATACATCGGGTATTTGGTTGCCTCACGCAGTGGGACCTTTGAGATGCAGCGGCAGAGAGAAAGATATGTATATTTGTATATACATCCAGCTCTTGAGGACCATGTCGGCAGGCGACAGCCGCCAAGCGCCGTCCAAGTCGCTCTACGTCCTCTACCTCGAGGTCGCCCGGGAGCCATAGCATGGTGAGCTCACGTAACGCATTGTACGGTGTCAATTTTTCGAGGCAGCTAGCTTGTTCCAGAGGTCAGTGTTGCAAAAGGGGACGAAGCGCGGCCTTTGAAGTGGGTAATACATATTGGTGGCTGAACCGGCAGCCAAAAAGTACTCTTATCTGTAGCCCCAAATCCCAAGAACCAATCGGACAGGCAGTTTACAGGGCCAAAGGGAGCTGGGAGTAGGTTCTCTATTGGTGGAAGCTACTGTAAGCCGAGGTCAAGGCCGTGGTGAACTCTCGCAGGGCTGAGGGTCTGAACCAAGTCGGCGGCACCGCGCAAGCCGGCGAAGAGGATTTCACGGCCCTGCAGCTGTCCTTCATTCGAGAGAGCCTCGGCTGCTGTTGGGCATGCATGCAGGTACTTACATACACACATACATAGGTGCGTGTGTGTCCAAATGTGTATACATATACATGTATATACATATGCATGCATGCACGACATGTCTCGATTAGCAATACTTTTCATGTGCTTATGCGGGTTGCAGTCGCCGACTGATGGTGTGATTGTGGTTGCTTGCGGTTGCTCTGAAGGATCTACAAGGAGAAGGAGAAGCTTCCCATGCTGGTCGCCTCCTTCTGCCAGCATATCTACGGCCAGCCTTTGGTCAAGGCTACGCATACTCCAAGCCGGCAGTAGCCCTGAAGAAGAACCCCCTTGAAACCTCTCAAGCTCCTGGGCCCCTACTGACAGCACCCTGGCTTGCAGACCCTTTTTTCCCCTGCAACGGGGCAATGAGCTAAAGTTTGGTCTTAAAGGCTGCCCTGCTTCTTTCCCTTCTTGGCGGACGTCCTCTCCGGGCCGAGGGCGCGGAGCGGCGGCTTCGGCGCCGGGGTGACATCCACGTCCCAAGGCTGTTTTGGAAGTGGCTTGTATAGGGCGACTTCCTTTAAGCCCTTGAAGCCCTGATTCTAAGCTTGGCCCAGGGTTTGTTGAGGCTTCGTCTTAGACTCATCTCGACTCATCTCCTCAGCACCCAGGTCCTGCTGCTGGGCGACCCGGGCCTTGGGAAGAGCGAGCTTCTGCGGGCCCTGGCGAGGCTCAGTTCTCGGGGCGTCTACGTCTCAGGCAACTCCTCCTCCACGGCCGGGCTCACCGCCTCGGTCGTCCGGGACCCCTCGGGCGAGTTCGCGCTGGAGGCAGGCGCCCTAATCCTGGCGGACAACGGCCTATGCTGCATCGACGAGTTCGACAAGATGGGCCAGGATGCATGCCAACGGTCTAGAGTCGAGAGTTTTGAACGATGACACCGCGACATCCTGGTACTGAACCCGATAGAACCATCCACAGAACAGCCCTTCCTGATGTAATGCAAACCTTGAACGGCCAGGACCAGCACTCCCTCCTGGAGGCTATGGAGCAGCAGACCGTGTCCATCGCCAAAGCGGGGATCGTTTGCACACTGCCCGCACGGACGACGGTCGTCACCGCCGCGAATCCCAGCAGCTTCCAAACACTTGTTCACCGTTTTGCCTTTTTTTGGCTTGGTCATTAACATCAAGACCCGAAACAAGGAGGCAATGAGCATACAGCTCATTCCTCCTAAAACTTCACGGCTTTCGCTTCGATTTCAAGAGCACTCGGCCCTAAACCCAACTCCTTATCCCCAAAAGTCCAGAAACAAAGCTCCCTAAACCCAACCCTGTACAAACCCGACTACAAACCTATAAACCCTGTCACACCCAGGACCTAGAAACCCCACAATCATCCATAGGCCGTATACCCTAAACCCTATAAGCCCCCAAACCCGAAACCCTAAACCCTAAACTCTAAACCCTAAACCCTATAGGCCCAAACCCCTCAAGACCCAAGGCAAAGGCTCCTGGGACATGAGCCTGACATTGGCTCAGAATCTGAAGTTTGGCTGCCAGGAGTCAAGCGAAGTCGTTTCCCTTTGTTGGCCGGTAGATCGCGGGTTTTTAGGGACGTTAGGGTTGAGGTCTTCAGTTTAACGGATGCAAAAAGGTTACAGCTTAAGCATCTCGTAGGTCTTTTGTCTGCTAGGGCTTGCGGGCTAGAGATTAACAGAGCCGACTTATCTCCTCATTCGGGGTTTCTGAGTATACGGAGGCACCTTATTGGGGTCCCTATAATAAAAGGGAATCCTACTATTTGCGGAGTATATAAGGGGCCCCTTGTTTTCGTAAAGCCCCCCATGCTGCCCTCCTGGAACCGACGAAGGAAGGGCGTGATGTCCGAGGCGCTCCTCAGCCGATTCGACGTGATCTTTCTCATGCGCACCGCGGAGGAGACATACAGCTTGGGATGTGCCCCCTTATTTAATTTATACTAACACTCCTTCGACTGTTAGCATAAGGGGGGACATCCCAACATACAGCGGCCACGCAACTCCGAAGAAGCCTAAACCTGTGTTCCTCACCGGAACCTGTTGAGCATGAGTCATCCCCACCCTCTCCCCCCCCCACGAAACTCAGTACGAAACTCGCGGGTTCAGACAATGTGCAGAACGAAGGAAAGATTGCGATTTAGATCTGGCCCCCTGTTGCCCAGCCCGCTTTTGTCTCCTGCCTCCCACAACCGCAAACTGTGGCTCCCACTGGTCCTGCTAGTCGTGCCATTCGGCGTCCTGGATGTTTCTCAACCTGCTCCTGATTGCATATCTGGGTTTCCGAAATTAGGGGTACCCGTTTAGGGGGTCTTTTTCAGGGATTCTATTCTATTTGGGGTATCAAGGGGTACCCCTATTTTCATAAACCGCGATATGAATCACGGGAAGATTCCTAACCTCCAGACAGCGAATCCAGGATCCCGGGCAAGACACAGCCATGTCCCGGCACATTGTGCCTCGAGAAGCTGAGGAAGGCTTTGATGACCATGTGAGTATAGGGGTCGGAATATTTTCAAACAGAATCCGTTTATGGCCCCTATGTACATATATTGTAAGAACCCGCAAAACCCTATTCAAATTATGAAGGCCCCTACATTATACCAAAGTCTTCTGAACAGTAGTTCAATTCTAAAGTCCGGCACTTAACCTGATGAAGCTTTGACCTGAACCCCCCCCCCATCTCAGCAATTACAAGCTCAGAGGCTGATGGTAAGGCTTGTGTCAAAAAAAACCAAGGTGCAGCAGCGCATGCACGGAACGCCGCGGCCGGCGTCGAGCCCCACGGAAGACTGGTCCAACAGCGTGGATGCCGAGACAAACCGAAGCAGCCTGAAGGCACGAGGGCTTCGGGTTTAGGCGTCAGGGCTCGTAAAGCGGCCACGCCTGTGTACCCTAAGCAACCCCCCCCCCCCCAAAAAAAAAAAAAAAAACAAATAAAAAGAAAGAAAACGAACCACAAGCAAAAAAAGCCCCGCAACAAGTTACACACCCACATCCCCCAAATCCCCGAAATGCAAGGGAAAAAAAGCCTCAAGCCACACCCACGTCCCCCCAAGTTCCAGTCGTTCAGGTGCGGCTGAGCCGTCCTGGAGTAGAGGCGCTGCCCGTGGAGCTGCTGCAGACCTACTTGCGCTACGCCGCCTGGCTGGGTATTTCGGAAGGGCTGCGGGTTTGGAGAACGACGGGGTTCTCAGGCCGTCAGGTTTAGTCCGGACATGAAGCAGATTTTCAGGTTCCAAAAGGGGGTCGAGTCAGGGTCGCCCTGAACGTGTTTGTAACCGCCCTAAACCTGGCTATGGCCCTGCAGGGCCGCAGGGTGCAGTTCCCAGCGACGTTGTTGGGGAAGTGCAAAGGGGGGTGCAAGGGCGGGCAGCAAACCAGTACTTAAGCATCACCGGAAAAGAAAGGAGCCTAACACATTCCAAGAAAGCATGGGGCTGTGTGGTTGTGCGTCGTCAAGCCACATGGGCAAGTCTTCACCTGAACTCTATAAATCGGGTCTCATGCACATAGACTTGCAGAGGTATTCTTGTTTCACTTCGTGGGTTTCCCAGCTGCATCGCTGCCCTCCCTCTTCGGCGACCCAATTAAAGCCCTTAAATTTGCCCCTGAACGCCCTGAGCCCCAGGCCAAGAAGTTCGCGCAGCCTACCCTGAGTCGAGCCGCCCGCCGGCGCATCAAGGACCTCCTAGGTCGTTGGCATGGCCCACAGAGTCCGCTGACTTGGGTGTACTTTAAGCCTGTATGCACGAGAATGCCCAGTGGCGTGGTTACAGGTTGGCCCGGTTTGGTTCCATGAAGGGGTGGAGGTTGAGCGCTTCGGGCTTTGGGGCTGCGAGCTGGGGCCTAGGTTTAGGGCTTTGAGGGCTGTTTTATTCCGTACGAGGCACCAGACCCGAGCATTGTAGGTTTGAGTCAGGCAGGATTTTAGCAGTGTTTAGGGATCAGGGTGCTCTCACTTGGTTCAATTGCCCAATGCACATTCCTTGCCTGGCAGGGGACGCCTTCCTCTTGGTCGCTGTGCTTGCAACACTTTGTGGAAGGTTGAGTCTTGTCATAAGCTCCGCTTTCCTCGGCTTACCTCTGTGGCGGGCTCAATCCCTAAACCCTAAACCCTTTGAAGCTTTCGGCTTCGGATTGTCTCATTCTCACACCGCGGCTGGAGATCCTAGAGGACTACTACATGCAGCGCCGGGCCGCGGGCGGAGCCGTGCTGGTGACCCCACGGCTCCTTGAGGCAGGATCCAGTACCTAAGGTTTTTTGTGTTCAGGGTTTGGGGCTTTACTGCACGATGTTTGCCTAGTCTGTCGAAGGCCTTTCCCAGCCGACTTCAGGAGTCTGGGTTCAAGAGAAAGGGTTTAGGGGGGTTCAGGGTTTAGAGTGAAAGTGATGTGTAAATTTACATCATGAGACAGGCCCAGGTTGAAGAACAGGCGAGCTTCGTTTCATGAGCCTAATGGCAAGCATACAGGACCAGCAGAGCTGTACGTCGGGATTTTTCCGGCTGATCTGACATGCAACGATTCCAAGGTACCTGGATATGAGACAGGTGAGGATGAAGTAGTTGAAAAAACCAGGCGGCTTTTCTTCACGACCGAGGACATGCTTCCATGCTTCGCATTGGGCCACAAATGAGGGGACATGGTTCCAGACAGTTACAGCCGATGCCGCATGTTGCACGAGCATAGTGAAAAATGGCTGGGGAAGGTGGTCAGCTGGGTACTGGCAACCACATCTGGAGGCTCCACTTCCCAAACAACCGAATTCTGAACCTTGCAGACCCTGCAACCCCTTTATACAAGCCTAAAGCTTAAAACCCTCCAATGAATCCCCGGACCCTACGAGCCCTAGAGCATATAAGCTCTAAACCCATTTTTCCCGTTTTTGTCCCCTGCAATTCCGCGTTTACGCCATGGGTGCCACTTTCAACCTTGAGTTCCCTTGCCATCCTGCCCCCATCTATGCGACTCTCAAGGCCCTCCAGGCGTTATTCAAGCCCCGAGCCCCAAACCCAGGCACCCCCAAACCCCTACGAAAACTCACGAAGCTCCTGGGTGATTGTTGAAAATCATCTCACATGTTTTATGCAGACAAAAAACCCAACAAGGGATTTTTTTAAACAGCACCCCAACAAAATGGTGCAGAAACCCCAACCAAGAGCTGTGGGAGGCCCTGATCCGGCTTAGCGAGGCACGGGCCAAGGCCGAGCTCCGGCGGTGGGTGCTGGTGCCTTGTGCTCCTTTGCAGGGCTCGGGATGTAGAAAGCACCCGAAACGGTGTTTTGAGGGCGTCTCCTCCTTCTGCTTGCAGTAGATTCTAGAGTAAAGCCATCATGAACCTTATGCCTTATACTCAGTATATGATTCGAAGGTTTATGGTAGGGCGTGGGGCAGTGATTTTAGGGGCTCGTGTTGAAGTTTGATCGCGGCTGAAGCGTGGAAGCCGCCTAGTGCCTGAAAAAGCGCGAAGAGAAGCCCAGGAATCGGACGTGGAGGATGTTATCGAGCTTCTCAGCTCTGGCTCAGACTTCCAGGAGGAGTTCCTCGAGCTGAGAGTTGTGGCATGTTTTGCCAGTTCCAGAGGCTTAAGACATTTTCCTTTTTTGGTCAGAGAGCTGGCACAAAGCTGACAGAGAGACAGGGAGAGAGAGGAAAAATATGCAAAGGTGCATACACGTATTTGTTGGATTGGTATGCCGTATGTAAACGTCTACTTGGGCGGTCCCTGCAAACACATCCTCGGGCCTTCGGAGCCCTCCGAGCTCAAAGGTTTCTTCAAGCGCCCATTCGCAAAGGGAAGTCGAAGCCCAACGCCATCGTCGATCGTGTTCTACAATTCCTGGACAGGCGTGCCCGTGCCGGGACAGCTCTTGAGAAGCAGTTTGACTTATGCTTTTGGAAGAAAGTTCGCCGACAAGGTCTGCCTAAAGCTAGACATGACTGACTCGTTCCTCAGAGGCGAGTAGGGAGAAGGTACCCTTAGTTCGACATAATGGGCAAAGCTGCGGAACGCGGAAGACACCCCCAAAGCATCCCTAAACCCAAACCCTAAACCTAAGACCAATCCCAGCTGCCTCATCGAGGCGCTGGCGGAAGCCGCGAGTTCCAGGAGGCCGAGCTTCGTGCGGCCGCCGGGCCGGGCGCGGAGGGGCGCGATTGGGACAAAGCGCTGCAGCTGCTGAGTCCCGGCTTGCGCTTGGAGCTTGAGGCTTTGGGGGCGCTGTCGGTGTTACTTCGGTGCTGCCGCGTGTTGAGGTTGCTGGATTTGGCGTTTTGGGCTCGACGTGCTTGTTCCATGCGTTCATGGGTTTTCGGAGGCTTCTTTATCAAGCTGCGAGGCCCGAACTTCAAGCGTTTCCGGAAGTAGAAGTAGAAGGTCATGCTTGGACCTGGCTTGAATGGCATAGAACTGTGTGCGTATGTAAGGGTGCGTTCTGCCAATCTCATCTATTTAAGATCACTTGCATGCTCACTGCGGCGTTTGCACTGGTGGCACGTTGGATTGGTGAGGCCACAGATTTCTGTCAAACAAGTTGAAGAGGTAGGTTCATCGGCACTGAAGGAACGACCCTGGAACGCTCACGCTCTCTGCTGGGGGCCGCTACATTTTCAACCCCAGCATGCGCTGACCACGCCCTGAGCCGTGAGGAACGTATCCTGAGTGTTTAATTCCGGCTGTACAGAGAAGTTCCGGAGACTTGCTTAGCGCAGGACGTGCGGGGGCAGCCCAAGGTCTATGGTACAATGCTGTACACTGCCATGATTCTGCATGTGTCTGCAGACTCATGGCCCCAGAAGTTAACTTTTGACATCACGGGCTGCGGCATGACCTGGTCTTACATTTTAGGGGACGACTTCAACCATGAGGGATGTGGGCACTATCTGAGAGTTGGGGCCCTTTTGCGGGCACCCAAAGACGCACCCTTAAACCTGAGACCTCTCTGCATTCGGCCAACAAAAGGAGCCCGACCTCCGATAACTGCCCATATGGTTTCGAAGTGCAACCGCCTCTTGGGTGCCTTCAGAGTCCCAGCAGAAGGGTCGGCCTTTTAGGGGTCATAGGAGGCCACATGATGGCTTGGTATGTAGGTCGTTTCTGGGATGTTCTGGAGGCATTCCTAGACAGCATCAGAGCCCTGCGCGCGCGGGAGGGCAAGGAAGCGCAAGACCAAGAAGCTGCTGGTTGGCCTTATAGAGTTTAGAGTTCGAGGCGAGAGCACGCTTCACACTGCTTCAGGTTGGGGGTTTGGGGGCTTACGGGCTTCGTGGTTTAGGGCTGCAAGGGTTTATAAGCTCAGCGCATCTGAGGTTCTTGGAAGCACATGGTGTAACGCTGGGGTGCGCCTCGCAGCATCGCACTTATTCGTGAAGACAACCAACAAGCACGAGTAGATTTGCATATGGTGGGACGGGTACACTTTACATATGTGTATATAGGTCTAGGGCAAAGAAACCCTCAGATGCCAAGACCGGACATTGCTTCGCTCTTGTTGCGGCCGCGGTCAGTCGCTCATCACCATGGAGTCCAGAATGGATACAAACCACATTCCCGTTAAGCATGTTTCCGTCCCTGGGCTTGGCTGGCCGCATCATTTCCGAGCGCCGACGCTCTTGGATCATAGCGCTGCAAGAATGCCACAGGTCACCCTACAGAACATGTGTCGAGGTGTGAGGGCTGAAGACCCTACGTCAACCCGGTCATTTAGTCAGCCAACACTACCAGCTTCAATTTGCGATGTGGTTGGGGCGGTTACGGGACGAATCATTTACCATGACTTAACTTGCTTTGGGGGTTTAAGCCGTTCTGCTCGGCCATGCAGCGGGATGACTCGCTGCCCGAGATCTACGGTGGCGACCCAGGGCCCTTCGGCATGTTGGATGTTGTATAAGTGATCCAGCAGCTTGTGTTTTTGTAACGATTGCTCGTTGCTCGAGGTGCACTCACGGTTTAGAGATGTTTAGAGATGTTTCGTTAGGGCTTGCAGGCTTAGGTTTAGGGAGGTTCCAGGTGGCTGGCATGAATTGTCACCCACTTGTAATGTGCAGCCTAACCTTTAAGCCCCCAAACGTTCAATGGGCGTGCTGCAGCGATTGGAGTGCTCAAGTCAGTTTCCCGCCATCGCACGCTCTCTGTCGGCATGTCCCACGTTCCGATGCAGCCCAAGCGCGTCCTTGTCGCTGGAATTGCCGCAGCGGCTGTGGCAGCTCCACTTTTCGTGGCACCTTCCACGGGCACAGCGCCGGCAAAGGCCTTGCGTGGTGCAGGCGGTGCAGGCCCCTCCAGCACCCCGAGTGCGAGCCCAGCCGGCGTAGCCTCGGTCGGCGTCGGCGCCATGGCCCTGGCTGTGATCGGGGCCTCCAGCGCCAAGGCCAGCGCACGCAAGGCTCCCAATCGAGTCCAGGTCGCCCGCCGGTCTGTAGAGACCTTTCGGCAAGGTGCTTTGGAGTATCCGGCAGCCTATGACAAGATCGCCGAGGTCAACAACAAGGAGAAGGAGGCCGACATCATCTGCACCATTGGACCAAAGTCTTGGGACCCCGAGGTTCTGGTTGAGCTCATGAAGGCCGGGATGAACGTGATCCGCTGCAACATGTCCCACGGAGACCATGAGGAGCAGAGCATGAAGCTGGCCAACCTCGAGAAGGCATATGAGCTGGCCCCGGAGTTCAAGGGCAAGATGAAGATCCTGATGGACACCCGCGGCCCTGAGATTCGCACAGGAACCTTCGAGGTCTACAACTCCAAGAAGGATTTGAAGGCTGGTCAGGAGTTTAAGCTCGTCACCGACTACAGCCTGAAGGGTGATGAGAGCATGGTGGCGATCACCTACAAACAGCTGCCCAAGAGCGTCAAGCCGGGCCAGCGCATCCTCATCCAGGACGGCACCGTCATCCTGGAGGTCACGGAAGCAAAGGACGACGAGGTCCTGTGCAAGGTTGTGAACAACTGCAAGCTGGGTGAGAAGAAGAATGTAAACGTGCCAGGCGTGAAGGTGGATATTCCAGTTGTGGGCGAGCGGGAGGTCAAGGACATTGCGGAATGGGCAGTCCCCAACGACGCCGACTACATCGCTCTCAGCTTCGTCCAAAGTGCTGATGATGTGAAGGAGTGCCGCAAGCATTTCGACGGTAAGGACATCAAAGTCATCTCCAAGATCGAGAACGTGGAGGGCCTGAAGAACTTCGAGGAGATCCTGGCAGAATCGGATGGCATCATGGTGGCCCGTGGCGACCTGGGCATGGAGATTCCCATGGAGAAGGTTTGGATGGCTCAGAAGATGATGATCAAGAAGACCAGGGCGGCTGGCAAGTATGCCGTGTGCGCCACAGAGATGCTGGCATCCATGGAGGACAAGCCGTTCCCGACCCGAGCGGAGGCCTGCGACGTGGCGAACGCCATCTTGGACGGGGCAGACGCCGTGATGCTCAGCAGCGAGAGCGCCATGGGAAAGTTCCCTGTCGAGACGGTGAACACCATGAGGAGGATCGTCGAGGAGGCTGAGCATGCACTTGTGTAACTTGTGTCAGCGTGAACGTGTTGAGTTCGATCAGTCTCACTTGTAGCACTCTTGTAATTCATTCAGACCAGTTTCTGCTCAGCATACCCCAGTGTCCAAGCATAGCTGCAATCGAGCACAGTAAGCTGGGCTGGCCTCCCTCATGAATGTAGCTGACAGCAACAGAGCACAGGATATGTTGACAGTATCCAGCTGATATTTCTTCGCCTCAAGGCGGGTGCAGCTTTTTTCACATTCTTCGGCCCTCTCACATGGCAATCTTCATGCCAATCTTTGGCCCCAACAGTGGAGACATCTTCGTGATCGCAGAAGATCGCAAAACAAGACTTGCCAAGCCGAGACCCAGCTTGGGAGGTCCAGTGCAGTTGTGAGTGGGTGGGATGGTAATGCGGCCGCGAGCGGGGCCGGCGCTGTCACCGAAACGGCGTCAACATTCCTTGAAACTTTGCCTTTGTGTGTACTCACGGAGACCATGAAAGGCCCGAAGTGAAGATTTGGGGCGGGCATTTTCTGAGATGGCCACCCATCCACGCAACCCAAAGCTCATATCGCAAGTTACTTCTGCAGTGCAGACGGAGAAGTAGGAGTGCATGACGGGTCACAGCAGCCCTGTCAGCCCAATATAGGGGTCGGAATAATTGCTAATAGTATACCCTTGTGGTCCCTTTATTTTATCAACCCCCCCCCCAAAAAAAAACAAAAAGAAGTATTCAAAGGCCCCTATGTTAGCTGGTCTTGCTCAGGAGGGGCCGGGGCCTCGCCGACCTCAAAGGCCGACAGTTTGGGGGCAATTGGGTGAGGGAGGGTTCAGGGTCTAGGGTTTAGAGTCTAGAGTTGAGGGTTTGGAGCTAGCTGGTGCTCTGAGCCTGGGCTAGGTGGTACTTGGAGATCCTTGAGGTGGTTCTGGGTTTAGGCCCCATGCTATGGGGCATGCTTTCCTCAGGCAGATGTGGGGTCTCCCTGGACCCTGGTGTTTCGGGCAGGCTGAAAGGTGACCTTTTTGCCTTGCAAGACTTCAGACTTCAGCTCAACAGTGCTGTAAAGTAGAGATCTTCTATTTTCGGACATGGACATGAGCTCTAACAATTTCGGCTTGAGAAGGTTTGTTTGATGATCGGGTAAGGCTTCTGGTTGGGTGGTTCACACAGCGCGTCAGGCTGGGATCCCCTGGACCGTCGCATTGAAGTCGAGAAGAAGGAGAAGTGCCTGATGCAGAATTCAGAATCTTTTTCGTATTGGGCAGTTCTCTTCATTACAGTCCCTTTCGGGTCGGAAATGGGCCCGTTGGATGCGAAGCACCTGACATGGGCCCCACTTCAGGGAGCCACCAAATTAAGTTGTTTATTCAGATAGTCGTGCAGCAGTTGCGGGCCCGATTGTTCCGTCATGCTTCCCTGCTCTTAGACCGAAGCCCAACGCCGAAAAGCATTGTTTCAGCTGGTTTGGGGATATCTTTCTGCTTTGCGGGCCAGCGCAAGCTCGAATTTCTCAATGGGTAAAGCCCGGATGGGGGTTTACAAAAACAGGGGATCCCAATTTGAACTCCCAAATAGTAGGATAAGGACCCCAAGAAGGTATCCCCCCTAATGTCGTAAGCCCCAAAGCCCATGAAGCCCGCCAAAGCATCGGACGGCTGGTGGCTCAGGTATGGCCAAGCTCTTCGTGATCAGATGGCCATGAGCCTCGCCTCTCCGAAGTTGCTGAGTTGTTTGTTCAGGTTTTTTGCAGCAGGATTGGAAGTCAAAGGAGAATCTACCTGTCCGCCTGTGACTCTCTTCATGCAGCTGCCGGGTCGCGAATCCTACCGCTCCGCCCCAAAGCCCGGTTGAAGTAATCTAAATCAGGGTTTATGAAGGGCTTTGCATAACACCATGATGCCCCTCGGCCCCGAAACGCGTGCAACCCCGGCCAGCCACCAACATCCATAAACCCTTTTGTTCAACGCCTCGCAGAGTGGCTCTTGGAACCTTGCGAGTTAAAACGCTCAGGGGCTTAGAGTAGGTTTGTAGCCGAAACGGCGGCATAATCAGCGGCAAGGAACAGCGCCCGTGGCACCGGCGAGGCCACGTCGACATCGCCTTTGCCGCCCAGTCGCGGGAGCTCCTCGACAAGGGCCGCGGGCGAGGCGCGATTTTCGACGGTTCATACACCTCAGCCTCAACCCAGAAGAAACCTCAAGCCTAAAAACCCTAAGAGACCCTATAACACCTAAACCTTAAAAAGCCCCTGTAGCCAAAACCTGAAAAAACAAACCACGAAAAACAAATCCTTGAAAAAGTGCGTGTGTGTGTGTGCAGCTTAGACGCGAGAAAAGCCGTGTGCACCTTAGACGCGGGCATGCCTTGTACCTTATAAACGGAGTTTCCGTACAGCGCTTGCACAAGTCGCCTAAAAATGCTGCGCCTTCTAGCTTGGTGTGTGTGTGTGTGTGGCGAGCTGTGCCAGGTGATCGCCTCACCTCATGCCTCACCTCATTCGTCCGGGTTGCCTCTCGGAGCAATGCACGGAACCGATGGCGTGGCAGCCGCCAAGGCGGGTGTAGGGTGGGGGGTGGGGCGGGGTCAGCTTTCAGGGCGTAAAACCATGTTGCGCTTGAGAGGTTCAGGTTCCCAGTCTTCGGGCTTATGTCTTTGAAAAGGGGTTCAGATGTTCAAGCACTTCAGGCCAGTAAGTTTGGACCTGCTTTAGTGGTGCGTGGGCCCCCCTCCCCGCCCCAGATCAGTCGAAGCTGGTTTTGGCTCTCTTTACACGGTCCACGGGGTTTATATGATTTTGAAAGGATTTGAAAGGGAGGAGGCTAGATGAGTTTAAGAGGGACAGCGAGGCCCGGCAATTGAATTTAAAGGCGGGCCGCGCGAAATTCTCTTACGACACCCGGACTGTTTGACTTAATTGCGGATCCCACCTCGCACCCCCAAACAGTCCTGCGGTCCTGAATAGCCCTGCAAAATTGACTTCAAAGAGAGGGCCTCCACTAAAGCTGGTCCAACAACACCGTGACGCAAAATCATCACGTCCCCTGTTTAGCAGGACCCCGAATATTGTAGTCATATTCCTCGCCAGGTGAAAAAACCATGATATTGGGGGCGGAGGGGCGGGGGGAGGGAGGGTGCTCCGTCCCTGAACTTCTGAACTATCACTTACGGCCTGAGAGCTGGGCTTTAGGTTTTGTTTTGTTTTTGTGCTCGAGGGGCTCGGGTCAAGAATTCCTCAGAAGCTGGACGGTTGAATTCAAGGGTCCACCCAGCCGGCCAGCAAACCTCTAAGTTAACCCCGGAGGTGGCCCAAGTGCAGGAGATGATGCGCCAGCGCCTTCAGGCAGTGCATCCAGGCCTCAATGATTCAAAAGTTGTTGTTTATATTCCTTAAGTGGTCTGTAGGAACATCATCAAGCCGTAGAGAGCTAGAACATGAACAAGATGGGCGGAGACCCAGGCAGGATGAGCAGCACCGGCAGTGGCAAGAGGTCCAGCACGCCCTGCGCCTTGGGCTTCATCTTGGGATGTGCTCCCTTTTATACTAGCAGTCCTTAATAGGGATCATAATAGGGGGTACTATAATCCCTATTAAGGACTGCTAGTATAAGTTAATAAGGGGGACCATCCCAAGCTTCATCTTCTCTCAGGTCTAAGGAGGGAGGGCTTTTGGGGGGCCTTGGGATGGCGACATCAGGGGTTTGCAGGGACGGTCAGCAGCTTTGCAAAAGCTTGCAGAATTCTACAGGCCTCAAATCCTCTGGGCCGATGCTATTTGGGCAGTTCTCTACATTGAGGTGCCTAGTTTAGGGAACTGCGTGCGTGAACAGCACAGGAACAACCAGCTACATGCCGCTCGAGAAGCTGCGGAACAGGCTGTGCAGCGGGAGTGCGCGGAGGCTATGCGTGGCCAGGCCATGAAGATGAAATTTAGGGTTTGGGCCTGTCGATACTCGTAGGTCAGGCACTTCGGTAGCACTTTGGTAGAATACAGTAAGGATTTGTAGCAACCTAAAAAAGCCCTTAAACCCAATGCAGGAACCTTAAACCTTGGCTTATGGGCTTTTGGTTGTCTTGGGTTGGCTTTGTGAGCTCTTAGTATAACTACGGAGCAGCAAGCCATCTCCAGAGATTTGTGTTTCCAGGCCATGGAGATCGACTCGCTGCGACGGGGACTGGATGAGGTCCTCTCTGCGCAGCGCGCGCGGGAGGAGCTCTCGGGCCACCGGGCGGAGGCCATGGCTGAAGAGCTGGCTGGGGCGCGGCAGGCCCTCCATCGGCTGGAGGCCGAGTCGGAGGGATGTCGTGGCCAGCTTCAAAGCCTAGGGGGCGCAGTGCAGGAGCTGTCGAGGGCAAGGCAGGACCAGGCAGCTCAGCAGGAGGCGGTTTCGCGGGAGCTTGCAGACGCCAGAGCCTCCATGCAGCGGTTGCAGGCCCAGTCCGAGGACTTCCAGTCCCGGCTCCAGAGCCAGATGCAGGAGATGGAGCGACTAAGGGCTGAGAAGTCCGAGTGCGCGCGGGCCCATGAGGCCTGCGCCCGGGACAGAGCCCTGCTGTTTCAGAGGCTCCAGGAGGTTGAGTCGGGCCTCAGCGAGGCGCGAAGCCAGCCGGGGGCCCCAGACCGGTTTGGGGGGGTTTGGGAGACCAGCGTTTGCAGATTCTCATCGTCAAGGTCATCATCGTACGCAATCATCACAGACAGGGTATTTGCACCAGTTCCATGCTACAACAACTCCGGGGCAATATCCGACGCCCGTCACATCTGTGGCACAGCTCTCAAGGCCTCACATTGAATGTGCGGATCCCCGCAGGCTCCGAGAACACAGCGCCGAGATCGAGCGGCTGAAGGCGAATCGGATTCACGGCGTGCATGATAGCAAAGCCTTGAGCTTTCTATAGCCATAGGCCATAGTCCCATAGTCTTAATCTCGAAAAACCCACTACGGATGTTACACCGTTCTACCCTCATGTATTGAGACCTGGACCCGCACTCCAAGACAGCGTCCTAAACATGCTTGCTTGAGGTGTTCAGGCGAGGCTGGAAAGGCAAGGTACCTGCGGTGCATGTTGCTGCTCCGTGCGCTCGACATCCCGAAAGAAACGTCTTGCAGGGAGGATGCGCTGCACGAACACTCATGCGCTTCTCTTCTTCGCCCAGAGCCTGTTAAATCCAAGAAGCCAGCAAGGCCTAGAAAACGATTTATTCAAAGTCATTCAGTTCACATTTTTCAAATTTGGTTGAAGAATACATGCAATGAGTTCGTTTATGACATGTACTATTCTTAATTGGAGAAAATTTAACAATCATACCTTTCAATGTTAATGAATAACAATATACAATCATCAGTATTACCAATGAATTCACATGACTTGTGCAAGCATGCTATTGTTTTTTGCAAGGAAACTGTGAGTCAGAGCATATTCTCAGAAAAGAAAACATCTGAACAAATGTTTCGGTTTGTGTATTCAACATTGAAGACCACTGCATCACCTCATATAACCTTTCAAAGCGCATGGATAGACATCTCAAGACCCTCAAAAAACCAAAAAAGAAGTCTGCAGCTCAAGCATAAATAGCTCGGATCCCAGAGTGGCCGAACCTGTGCAGTCCATAGCTCCTTGGAGGTCCCGAACCGCGTTTAGGGTTTAGGGCTTAGGGCTTAGGGTTTAGGGTTTAGGGACTAGGGTTCATCCCCCCCTTCCCCTTCCCCTCCGAAAATCAAAAAGGCATGAACTTGCACGTCGCACAGGTTGCACACCAGGAGTGCGCGGAGATCTCAGCGACAGATTCACTTCATGGCTTTCAGGGGTCGCTGGACCAGCGAACTCAACGGAATGTTGTTTGGGTGTAGCGCAACAAAGTCGTTGCAAGAGTCTGCAAGAGGTTGTTTGACAATCCTGGGTTCACCCGCTGGCTGCTGTACCCTCCAGACGTATGCTGCAAGTGCTTTTGATATGCCTGCGGCTACTCCAGTGCTCAAGCAAGTTGGATGTAGAGGCATCCAGGCCTCACTATGGACATCGTTGTGGTAGCCACTTTCCAGGACCCTGGCCCAAGAACCGGCCCGGCTTTTGTGGCATCACGAAAGACTGAACAAACTCACAACTTGGACTCTTCGGCTTTGGCCCCCTTGGCACAGGACTTCGATGAGACGCAGGACAAGCGCTTCAGGGGGCCTGGGTGCGACCGCAAGAAGGCCTCCCTGTGCACCTCATGGCACGGTGGAATCTTGTTTGGACACCTTCACAAAAAGGACCCAAGCCGATAGTTTAGAACAGCCCTCATGCAGGCGATCTTTGTGATGTTTCTTCTTTCAGAATCTACAGTCTACAGTCTGAAGTGTAGAATTCGGTTCATGGACTGATGATGCAGACCTTACTGAACCCTTGGCATTCCAAAACACTACGCCCAAAAGACGCTTATTCCCCAAGCAGTCTACTGTTGGGGTTTTAAATTCATTTAAGGATTGCCGACATTCTGAGGACTGTTGCCGGGTTCCTGAGCTCCTTGTCTCCGTTTGTCTCCCTTCATGTGATTGGCTTTGCCGGGTTGCCGTGCTCCTCGTCTCCCTTTGTCTCCGTCTCCCGTTGTCTCCACTGTTTCTTTGACGTGCCTGTGACTGTTTGGGGTCTTTGGTGGTGTAATGTGTATAGTAGCATATTCACAGAAGCATAGACCAGTTTCTTGAGACAATAAGATAATAGCGGAAAATGGATATGCTCTTCCAGGCCTCACAAGCATTGATCCGGCACCTTTGCGCGCAGCCGCAGGTGGGGCCTTGACAACTTGTGTTCGCTGGGTTCTGTACTTTGGCTTTCGTTCTTGTTGCTGTATTGTTCGAGACCCAAGCGTTTGAGGCCCAATGCATTTGGACGATTTCGCTCTTGACTGCTCGGGGTCGTTATCGGTCCGCCCACGAAGCCGAAACCTCCACAGCAGGAGGCGGTCCGGAAAGTGGATGTCCTGGTACTGGACTGGAAGGCGCCCCCCAAACAGGGGCCGAAGGACACCAACGTCCTTTTGGGCCACTTGGCGCGCCATGGGAGGGAAGTAAGTAAATACAAGTAAGTGTTACAGCGAAAGTGCCAGTGTGTTTGTGTGTGAGTTTGTAAGTGTAAGTCGAAGTGTAAGGTAAGTAAGTGTGTGTGTGTGTGTATGTGGCGTGCATGTGCGTGCATGTGCGCGCGTGTGCGTTTGTTTGCAGCGCCTGAAGCATGGCTTGTTTGGTTAGAGGTGCACAAGCGTCTCTGGGGTATGAGATGCTGCCGGCACTAGAGCTTGCTGTCAGGAGGGTGTTTACTGGTAGCGAGGCGTGCACATGACCGTGTGCCAGTTGCATGACACAGTTGCGTTTGGCCATGGCCGACCCGCAGCGCGAAGCATCCAAGAGCCTCCAGCCCAGCGCCTCACACCTCATGCAGGTCAGCGGGAAAGCGAAAAGGCCGTCGTGTGGGGCTCCCGTGACCAGCTACTCACGAAATTCCCGGTGGCTTGGCACCCGGCTGGGCTTCAAACCTCAAGGTGAGGAGGATTTGTTTTTTGCCATTGCTTCGATAGCGAGGGCGATGATGGTTCTGGCATCTTCGTTGAAGTGCGATTCCTCGTTGTGCTGCAGACCTCGTGACACAACCCCGAAGCTCCACGCCACCTCAATCCCCGTAGAGATTTAAAAAGAAATCAACAACCTTCGCCCTTCGCTGCAATATAAACTAAACACCCCCCTGGCCGCCTGGCCCGGTTTTGGATTCTCACGACTCCCCCTCCCCTTAAGAAGTAGCATCAACGTCTACCTTGAAGCCCATGCCAGCTGCAGGCATGCGTCTGGGACATTTGTCTTTGCTCCAGCTCGGCGCGCTTCGTCTTGGACTTGGCCGCGCAACTCAAGGCTGGCAGGGCCAATGCAAAGAGAGGGGGTGTTTAGGGTTTTGGGTTTTAGGGGTTTTGGGTTTTGGATGCTGTGTCTAATTAGACTCGTCAAGAGCAGCAGATCTGTCGAGCATCCGGTCAGTGAGACGCGAATGCTCCGAAGCCCTACACCCAAGCTGCGGCATCAGATGTGCCTCCACGTGGTCCACCTGCGGCCTCAACCCTAAAAACCGCCCGTAAGCCTTCAACCCGTAAACGCATCACCCACCCCCGAAACCCTAAACCCCCAAACCCCCAAACCCGCAAACCCCAAAACCCCTAAACCCGCCAAAAACCTCAAAACTCAGGTGAAGCGCCGGCTATCTCTCCAGCACGACTACAACCTTCCCTTCGGACCCTGGGGCCAAGAGCAGACCCCGGAGCAGCTCAAAGAGCACAGATCCCTCTTGAAGGACCGCAGCCGCAGAGGGAGTTGAGGGTATTAGGGTATTAGGGTTTAGGCTTAGCGCAAGTCCTGATGCAAAAAGGGTATAGGCTTACTTCAAAAAGGTGAAGCCTACTGCACAAGGGTGTAGGACAGTGTAGGGGTGAGGGTGAGTCACCTCGACCCTGACGCTCAGACCGATTCCCAGCAGATCTGGGGTCAAGGGGCAGCCGAAAAGAAGCCCCAGACCGACCCAAAGCCTAAAACCCAAAACGCAACATAATGGCGTATCGTATGCTGCAAAGTCTGTGCTATAGATTCTGCTGTGTAGAAAAAACTAGTTTTCCACTATATCTAAAATGTCTCTGTAATATACATATACATAAATAAATAAATCGATATATATATATATATATATATAAACTCCTGAGCTTGAACTTCTGGAACCAGGGCTTTGAGCTGCTCTGCGTGTCCCAGCACCTGGCGGACTTTGTGGAGAAGTGGGGCGAGGGCGACGTTCGTGCGCGGTGCTGCTTCCTGGCCCCCAAAAGATCAGCCGAAGGGTTTGGGCTGGGGCAATTTAAGAGCTTCCGCTTCTTGACTCAGGGTCCGGAGCTTTCGACTTCGGGGTTTCTGGGATCAGGAGAAACAAGGGCGTCAAGCATCGCCGGAAAACACACCGCGGGCCTTATGGACCTGACATCTGCAAAGTCGCCACCAGCTCCCAAGCCCACAAGTTACCACCCTCTGAGGCTATACAGCCGACTACTCTCAGTTCGACCCGCTGCCCCAGGAGCACTGAAGAAGTCAACCCTCTAACACCTAAAATCCGAAACCCTCTGATGCCCTGAAGCCCGGACACCCTCAAACCCGAAGGATTGTTGAATGAAGTCCTAAGCCACCAGAACCAGAAAGGTGGCGCCAGATTCATCAAGACTGTGTCGGTTTCGGTGTGTGCATGCGTACAACCTCTTGATTGGGTTTTGGGTTTGTTGAGGTTGGGTGATTTATGGAGCTATTGGGCTTTTTCAGGAAAGGTGGTATGCCTTTTTGCTTCAATCGCCGTCGTGGTGTTCGTGGAATTCCCGCTTATGCACATGCAGGTGCCCAAAACAGCCCCGAACCCCTGCAGCTCAGGCGCGCTCTTGGGCATCTCAACCCGAGATTTCCACCGACATGAATGAATTGCAGGCATATCTCACGCAAAAGCAGCTCGTTTTGAGCCTGGGATCAGCATTGAAGGCTGACTCGCAGAAAGCTCAGACTTTTCGTTGAAGACCTTCAGCAAGAAGGAGGTGAGAGCGAGGTGACCATGACGACGATAATTCCATCAGGGCCCAAAACGTCAGGATCACTCATGCAGGGGCCTTCATATCATTCGGCGACATAACAACCATCGGGGCTTAACAAGCACTCGGGTTTTTACCCCCCAGAACAGGAGCCCCTGCAGCCGTGGGAGGGCCATAGCGCCTCGGCGTGGGGAGAGAGGTTTCCATTCTTGAGTCTTAGGGGGGTTTTGGCGGAACATTCTGGGTACCTTTTGGTAGGCAAAATTGGCGTAATGAGCAGGGTTACCTGGATCCAAATCTATATAAGGTTTTAAGAGGGGCGGTCGCCCGCAGCCGGCCACGCCCCAAAGCGACAAGAACTAAGGTGCGGGCACTGGGGGAGGGGGGGGGGTTGCTCATGATGGCCTTCCAAAAAGAATCGGAGTCTGGTTTTTGGCCAAAGTTTACATGTCTAGGGGGTGCCCAAAAGAAGCACTCCTTCACGGGATAGCGTGGAAAAACGATAAACAATGCGCATAAATCATGCACAATGCCTTCCGGAGGGTGGGGAGGGTAGACCCTAAACTTTAAACCCTAGACCCTCCATTGAGGCAGGGTCAAGCGGTTGAAGTATCGAGTAGGCAGCGGATAGTGACAGACCAAGGTCGGACGTTCATTTAGGTTGGGGTGGAAATTGAACGAATGCTCCAGCACAAGCCTGGAGATAATCTTGGCTGATTCTGAAAGCAGGGGTGGCTGTACTTTGGTGGCGAAGGACTTCTCGGCCAGACCCTAGACCCTCAACCCTCACTGCCCCGCGCTGAGGTTTTGTGACCTTCGTGAGCCCTTGCCCGGAGAAGGGCCTTAGCGTCTTCCTCCGGCTCGCAGAGTCTCTCCCAGACGTGCCTTCACACAATCCGAGGATCTGACTGTCGCGGGCATGTTCTCCACGTACCCTTAAGGGTGCTAAAAGACTCCTCAACGTGACCCCTATAGGTTCTCTAAAGGTTCTCCAAAACGGTTCCGCAAACCCATGGGTTGCAGGAACCGTAGCTCCAAGGAAGAGCCACTTTGATACTCGGATTTCATGTTCAAGGTACAAGGTTGTTCTGTGGAGAAGTTTGCTGCTGTGTGTCCCAGGTGCAGTTCCTTGCCGTGAAGACCATCACGTGGACGAAGCCATGGCATGAGCAGATCCTGAAGAAGTAC